TCACTGATTTTTCAGGGTCTCCTACTAGTTGTAATGGATTTACAAAATTGATAACACAGTTAATAGCTTGTAATACTTTGTTGGTCTTTCTTCAATGTGTAGCACGGCTTGACTTGAAAGTATTCGTAACAGAGACTTGGCTTTAAGAGGAACTGTAACAAGTTTATTGAAGTATAGAAGAAGCTTAATGGTTTCCATGTTTCTTAACTCTTAGAGGCACATTTCCTCAGTGGTTACATTTATAACATTTCATAAAGCAACTCTTAGAGGACTGTTCCTTTCACGAGACAGGTTTTAAACTTATTTTTCTTCAAACTGTGTTTTTTTCCTTAAAAGACCACTTCAAGTACCAGCTTATTATTTCCTTATATTATTTCTGTTGCCATAAAGATGCTTACTGGGTTTCTCTCCCTTTTTTTCTCATACACTAACTACTATTCTAAATAAGTCAATTTTACCAATCTAAACCTCACAGGCTAAAAGCCTAAACCTTCCTGATTCTCAACACAGTAGAATCAGCCTTATTGGTTCCCAACACAGTAGAACCAGCCTTTCCTGCGGTTCACAGACTACAGACTGCTTTCCTGGTTCTCAACACAGTAGAACTAGCCTTTCCTGCAGTTCACAGAATACAGACTGCTTCCCTGGTTCTCAAAACATATTGGCAAAATGGTCTAGAAGCCATGCAAATATGAAGAATGGCTTGTTGGAATTCCAACCTATATTGCTCAAGTCTGTAGTCCTCAATGAAAGGTAGTCTGTAGTTTGAAGCTCTGGGTTGGCATGAGCTCCCGACTGTCAGCCCAGCTTACTGTTTACCTACGCAGTTTGAAAACAGCTTGAGTTGCAAATAGAGAAATTAGGTACCAGAATTAAGCTATGCTGAGGGACTCTGTTTTCTCTCACTCTCTGTCCTTCCACCTCCCATCCTAATTGATGATGCTTCGTTTTAAGACCTTGTGGCCATTCCTTCATTCACCTCCTTCTTGTTCTGATCCTTTTCTAATCTGTGTGCATGGCGAAATGGAGTCTTTAGAGACTTGGAGTGGGAGAGTAAGCCCAATCCTTTTGTCTCAAATGTAGTTCTTATGTCTTAAGAAACTTTTTTTGAAACATTTATGCACCTCGCTTCCTTAAGCTCAAGAAGTCTTTCCAGCCATGCCTTTTCGCTTGTTGTGAGCGGAATGCTCTGTTTTTGCATTTTGAAAATACTCTGCAATTGTAGGATTTCCCCTAAAGGCTGCCGTGTGACATCTTGGCAAATATTTAAACCTAGCTCTCATGTCCCTTCTGTTTTTTCTTCCCCAAGCAACACACCCCCACCTTCCTAAGGCAATCCTCAAAAGGCAACCTGAGGGTCGGGACCCCTGGGGGGATTGTGAGGGAGGTGTCAGAGGGGTCACCAAAGACCATCAGAAATTATAGTTCACCTACAATCAAAGAGCATTCTGAACTCTACCAATGATGTAATTGAACCAAACGTGGCACACCGAACTCCCATGATTAACACATGGAGGCATGACTTTTCATTCAACCCTCGTAGTTTTGCAAATGCTGGGACGTGTTGTTGACTCTTCTGCAGGGAAAATGTGTGTGTGTGGGTTTTCGCCCTCCTTAAAGGAACAGCCTGCCCAATTGTTTAATCTGAGCCGAGATCTGCAAAGCGTGTCTTTGCACCTTTTCAGGAGCGGAAACACGGCCTATGGTTGTCACGGCTACGAGTGACCCACTGCATCGCCTCCCACGGATGGAAGGTTTGAGCGATGGACCTCAAAAAGCCACATCCTGCCTTGTGGTCAGTGTATCGCCTTCATTTCAGAGAAAGAAAGAAAGAAAGAAAGATGTATTGTCAAAGGCTTTCATGGCTGGAATCACTACGTTCTTGTGGGTTTTTTCGGGCTATATGGCCATGTTCTAGAGGCATTCTCTCCTGACGTTTCGCCTGCATCTATGGCAAGCATCCTCAGAGGTAGTGAGGTCTGTTGGAAGTAGGACAATGGGTTTATATATCTGTGGAATGACTGGGGTGGGGCAAAGAGCTCTTCTCTGCTGGAGCTAGGTGTGAATGTTTCAACTGACCACCTTCATTAGCATTGAAAGGCCTGGCTGAGCCTGGGGGAATCTTTTGTTGAGAGGTGATTAGATGTCCTTCCTCCCTGTTGTTGTGCTGATTCCAGCCATGAAAGCCTTCGACAATACTTCTCCAAAACTTCTGCTGAATCTTAAAAAAAATATCCACAAGCATGTGGACAATTCCAACAGAAAGGAGGATTCATGAAAATGAACAAAATCTGGCCACCAGTTTAAAAAAAAACTCTAAAATTAGAACAGCCATCAAATGCTAATCAAGGTGGTCATTTGAAGCATTCCCACCTAGTTCCAGCAGACAAGAGTTCTTTGTCCCACCTTGGTCATTCCACAGAACCCTTTTTCCTAGTTCCAACAGACCTCACTACCTCTGAGGATGCTTGCCATAGATGCAGGCGAAACCTCAGGAGAGAATGCCTCTAGAACATGGCCATATAGCCCGAAAAAACCTACAACAACCCACCCTATACTTCTCAAGTCTGTAATCCTCAATTAAAGGTAGTCTGTAGTTTGAAGCTCTGGGTTGGCATGAGCTCCTGACTGTCAGCCCAGCTTACTGTTTACCTAAGCTGTTTGAAAACCACTTGAGTTGCAAATAGAGAAATTAGGTACCAGAATTAATTGCTGGTAGGTAACACATTTTGTTATTATTATTCAACCTAGCTGGTGGATAACAAATGTTGTTGTTCTTGTGGTTCTTGTTGCTGTTGTTGTTATCCAAACTTGCTGGGTAACACTTATTATTATTATTATTATTATTATTATTATTATTATTATTATTATTCCTACTTGGTGGGTAGCAAATAATAATAATTATTATTCTCATTCTTCCTTTCTAGCTCCAACCTTCAAATTATAAAGAAAGTTTGCAAACCCAGCCAATGGAAGAGTTCAAGAAGTGCATTGTGGATGTTTCAATATCTCAACCATTTGCAATGCTAAAAATGTGGAGAAAGATATATAATGGAATGGAATGAGGGAAAAGAGAGAGAGGAATCCTAATCTAGAGCCCAGAAATAAGTTCCTTTGGACTGGGACTCACCTGGAAGAGGCGGGTGAAAATGTCGAACTCGAAGACAGAGATGTGTCCGCTGCAGGTGAGGTCGATGGTGGACTTCAAGGCCATGGCCATGGGGCCGGGTTCAATGGGGTGAACCGCGTGGAGGCCCTCCCGGAATTCGGCCCAGGACACCAGGCTCCTGCAAGTGGAGAGGCACGGAAGGTGTGTCTACACTGCAGAATCAATGCGGTTTAAACCCACTTTGGTTGCTATGGCTCAATGCAAAGGAATCCTGAGAGTTGCAGTTCCCTGCAGTCTTCCTAGTTGCACATTTAAGTCGAATGCAATGCAAAGACCCACTTCAAAAGGAAAAGCATTGCAGTATCACTATGTCACAACTGCAGGAAGGATGTCATCCTGCAGGACATTACATTATTATGATGATAATTATTCTGATTATATTGTACAAGCCATCCCCTGCCACGCATTGCTGTGACCCACTCTGGTGGGCAGCATCCTTGAAGTGACTGGACTGACCTTGAAGGAGCTGGGGGTGGTGATGGCCGACAGGGAGCTCTGGCATGGGCTGGTCCATGAGGTCACGAAGAGTCGGAGACGACTGAACGAATGAACAACAACAACTCTGGTGGTCATGGGGGTTCTGTGTGGGAGGTTTGGCCCAATTCTATCGTTGGTGGGCTTCAGAATGTTCTGTGATTGTAGGTGAACTATAAATCCCAGCAACTACAACTCCCAAATGTCAAGATTCAATTTTCCCCAAACTCCACCAGTGTTCACATTTGGGCATATTGAGTATCAGTGCCAAGTTTGGTCCAGATCCATCATTGTGAGTCCACAGTGATCTCTGGATGTAGGTGAACTACAACTCCCAAACTCAAGGTCAATGCCCACCAAACCCTTTAGTTTTTCTGTGGGTCATGGGAGTCTGGTTCAATTCTATTCAATTCCAACATTAGTGGAGTTCAGAATGCTCTTTGATTGTAGGTGAACTGTACAAATCCCAACAACTATAACTCCCAAATGTCAAGTCTATTTCCCCCAAACTCCACAGTGTTCACATTGGCATATTGAGTATTCTGTGCCAAGTTTGGTCCAGATCCATCATTGTTTGAGTGCACAGTGTCCTCTGGATGTAAGTGAACTACAACTCCCAAACTCAAGGTCAATGCCCACCAAACCCCTCTAGTGTTTTCTGTTGGTCACGGGAGTTCTGTGTAGGAACTTTGGTTCAATTCCATCATTGGTGGAGTTCGGAATGCGGTACTTATTGATCTACTCACATTTGTATGTTTTCGAACTGCTAGGTTGGCAGAAGCTGGGGCTAACAGCGGGAGCTCACCCTGCTCCCTGGATTCGAACCGCCAACTATCCGGTCAGAAAAGTTCAGCAATGCAGCAGTTTAATCCACTGCGCCACTAAATAATAACCAAATAATGATGATGGTAGTGACAGTGATGATATCAGCTTGGCCTTATTATCACTTTCTTGGATGGAGAGGCTTCCAAGGGTGCGTCTACACTGTTGAATGAGTACTATTATTATTATTTTGCCTTCTCTGTCCAAGGGCGCCAAAGTACGGGCTCTCTTGATTCCATAGCATGGAGCCACGGTTGCCAAAACCACATTAAACCTGCAGTGTAGATGCGCCCTTAGTAAAACTATAATTCCCAGGATCCTATCACCAGAAGCTATGGCAGTTCCAAGTGGCATCAAACCACAATGCGGATGCAGCCCTGGTTTCAGTATATGAAAATAGGAGAAGGTGTGCATTCCACAGGTGGAGGGTTTTCCTTGGCTCACCTTGATCCCCAGGTCTCCCTCCAAAAGGCTTGGGCTTCTGGTTTCTTGAGCTGGTAGCTATTTCCTTGGTCTTGTCCATCCGGGAAAAGGGCCTGGAGTTCGGCCACCATATGGCTGAAGATCAGGGAAAGCTTCGTCAGAGACCTCCTGCCAAGAGAAAAAAAAGGCATCGATCAATTCATCAATTAATCAATCAATTCACTGATCAATCAACTGATCAATCAGTCATTAAATTGATCAATCAACCAACTAACCAATCAGTAAATCAGCTGATCAATCAACCATCTGACCAATCAATCAAGTGATCAATCATATCAATTGATCAATCAATCAATCAACTGATCAATCAGTCAATAAATTGATCAATCAACCAACTGACCAATCAATCAAGTGGTCAATCAATCAGTCAATTAGCAGACTGGTCAATCAATTGATCGATCAATCAACTGATCAATCAACTGATCAATCAGTCAATAAACTAATCAATCAACCAACTGACCAAACAATCAAGCAGCCAATCAATCAATCAACTGACCAGTCAATTAATTGATCAATCAGTAAATCAACTGATCAATCAACCAACTAACCAATCAGTCAATCTCAACTGATTGATCAATTGATCAATCAATCAATCAACTGATCAATCAGTCAATAAATTGATCAATCAACCAACTGACCAATCAATCAAGTGGTCAATCAATCAGTCAATTAACTGACCAGTCAATCAATTGATCAATCAACTGATCAATAAACCAGCTGACCAAACAATCGAGTGGTCAATCAATCAACTGACCAGTCAATTAATTGATCAATCAACCAACTGATCAATCAGTAAATCAACTGATCAATCAACCAACTAACCAATCAATCAACTGATTTATCAATTGATCAATCAACTGATCAATCAATTGATCGATCCATCAATTATTTCTTATCTGCCTCTCCAGGTGGCTCAAGATGGGTTACAACAGAGCCAAAAACATATAACAATGATATAAAATGCACATATTGAAACTTATTTCTACAAAATATGGATATTATTATTATTATATGTATTTATACCCTGCTTTTTCTCTCCCGAAAGGGACTTAATATAAAAGCATTAATACACACTTTAAAGTATACAAATATACAAACATTAAAACAGAATTAAATATAAATATTACGAAAAATTCACATTTGAAAACCATATCATAATTCACACAACAATGATTAAAATATAGTTGGCACAAGAAGTGAGTTTAAAACGCATGGTTAAAACTGGCTGGGTAGGCCATTACTATTATTATTATTATTCTGTTAGAAGGGATGGGTCTTGAGATGTGTATGTGTATATTGTTGTTGTTGTTGTTATTGGCATTTATATCCCACTTCCTCTTCCCCAAGGAAACCCAAAACATACAAACATTAAAATAGAACTAAACACAAATAGCACTAAAAAAATCTTGGTTTGGAGTATAAGTTTCACTGTTGGACTTGGACACTGGGAAACCAATCGATCAATTATCAGTTCAATCGATCAATGAATCATTGCCTAGCCAAACAATGTCCTTTTTGGCTGTTGGAGGTTGCAGCGAAAACAAACAATGCAAAGAGTGAACGTTGAATTTGGAGTTTGGATTTGTCAGCAAATATTATTTTAGGCAGGTGACAAAGGGGAAAACAGGAAGGACTGCTGGATCAATCAATCAATCAATCAATCAATCAATCAGTCAATGCTTATCTTCTTGGCTGTAGGAAGCACAACTGTGCAACTATTTACAATTACTGCAGAGAGACAATGTTCAGTCTGGTATTAGGAGTTTTCGGCAAGCAGGTGACAAAGGAGCCGTTCAGCAGTGGAACTCTCTGCCGCAGAGTGTGGTGGAGGCTCCTTCTTTGGAAGCTTTTAAACAGAGGCTGGATGGCCATTTGTCAGGGGTGATTTGAATGCAATATTCCTGCTTCTTGGCAGAATGGGGTTGGACTGGATGGCCCATGAGGTCTCTTCTAACTCTTTGATTCTATGATTCTATGATTCTGTGTACCCAATTAATGAACTGATCAATGAATTGATCACTCATAAATCTGTTTGAGGTTGCAGGAAGCATGAAGTCGAACATGACCCCCTCCATAAGAGATAGTAACTTATAGTTTTCCAAGGACAAGCTTCCACCTCAGTGCTGCAGGGCTCTATATCTCAGCTCACTGGAATCCCTAGACCCCTCTTCATGACTTTTTGAACCTTTTGCCACACATTAAGGACTCTTTTCCCTTCATGGACACTATCTAAGTTTCCCCCATTGTTCCTCTGTCTTATCGTAAAAAAGGAAAACCTGGATTATGGCTATATCACCAACATCAATGTTTATTGTAATCACTCACGAGACAATAGTAAGGCTTAGCTTGCAGGCCTTTTAGGACTCGCCAAGCCCCTTGCACATTTCCTGAGTTTCCATAATCCACTCAAGAATGCATTGTATTCCCTTGTCCTCCCTCTCTTCTGATTCGCTGGAGTGCCAAAGCAGCAGAAGCCCTCGGATTGGCCCAGGCACACAGCAGAAGCCCTGTGATTGGCCCAGGTGCTCGAGAGGTGGCCGAGCCTCCTCCCAGCTGTTGAGATGCCGGCCAATCACCTTCAAGCCGGGCAGAGGGCAGGGAGCGGGAGATTTGAACCACACAACTCTGTTTTTCTATATTTTCTTTATTTGTACTCATGTATGCTTAGCTTGGCGAATGATTGCTGCTCTGCATCCTTTTCAGCTGAAACGCTAATAAATCATCTCGGTGGCTTCTGCTTCAACTTGTCGAGATTTATTTTGCAATATTGGCTTGTCTTTTCTCACCAGGCAACCCACAATGGCTTGGGCCTAATCCACAGCCATTCTAAATTGCTCTACAACAAGCAGAGCTGAACATTTAGAACTTATTTTAAAAATGTGGTTGTGATATTTTGTCCAAGGGAAGATTTGGGACTTGTAGTTTGGTCAGGCAGAGAAGGGGAAAGACCTTGTAAAACTGTAATTCCCAGGAATCCCTTAACAAACTCTCTGTATGAAGAACGGCTTCTCTTTTGTGGACACAAACACTCCCTTGACCCATAGCCATGTTTTGGTCTCAGATCTTAAAGAATCCATAGCAGAGAGGTCTTTGTTCCCCGGCAACTGATAAAAGCGGCTCAAAGTCCAGCCAACGAGCAAGCAAAATACACACGCAAATGGTGTGCATTTGTGTGCGTGCATATATACACATACACATATGGGATGGGCGGGGTTTTAAGGACAGAAAACGTAACTGGGAGAAAGGACAACAAAAGGGAAGGTCTTGCTTTCCAAATATGCATTTTTTGTGTCTCGAATTGCAGCAAGGATGCATCTACACTGTTGAATTAATGCAGTTTGGGACCACTTTTAACCACCCTGGCTCAATGCTAGGGATGCTGGGAGTCACAGTTTTGCAAGGCCTTTAGAGTGCCGTTGCCTTGGCAAATTACAGCTCTCAGAATCCCATAGTATCTATATAAATAAAAATGTAATGTTAGTTTGTGGGATTAACATAACTCAAAAACCACTAGAAGAATTGACACCAAATTTGGATACAATACACCTAACAGTCCAACGAGTGTCCACCACCCATAAACACATGCATGCACATACACGCACACACACACACAAAACCCCAGCGGAACAGACTTAAAAACCCAAAAAAGACACCATATATACATATACACATGCACATCAACTGATCAATCAATCAATCAACATATCAATTGATCAATCAATCAGTCAATCAACTGATCAGTCAATAAACTGATCAATCAACCAACTGACCAAACAATGGAGTGGTCAATCAATCAATCAACTGACCAGTCAATTAATTGATCAATCAACCAACTGATCAATCAGTATATCAACTGATTCATACACACACATGTATATATGTGTATATATATATACACAAACATACACAAATATACACATATAGACACATACAAATACATACACACATATATACATATACACATGCACACACATGTACATATATACATACATACACACATATATACACACAAATATGCATATAGACAAGCAAACAGATATACACAATATGCATGCATTGACTGACCATTGGCACAGGGTTCCATACTTCGCACTCTAACAACACAACCGTTCAATGCTAAGGCTTCCCGCCAAAATGGAACTGTAGAGGAGAGTCTACTGAACAAGCCAGTACCTGCCGCATACGTTGCTTAAGTTGCATTGACCGACCGTCTGCGGAGGGTTCCATACTTCGCACTCTAACAACACAACCGTTCAATGCTAAGGCTTCCCGCCAAAATGAAACTGTTGAGGAGAGTCTACTGAACAAGCCAGTACCTGCCGCATACGTTGCTTAAGTTGCATTGACCGACCGTTGGCACAGGATTCCATACTTTGCACTTTAACAACACAACTGTTCAATGCAAAGGCTTCCCACCAAAATGGAACTGTAGAGGAGAGTCTACTGAACAAGCCAGTACCTGCTGCATATGTTGCTTCAATCGCATTGACCGATCATCTGTGCAGGGTTCCATACTTCACACTTTAACAACACAACAATTCAATGCTAAGGCTTCCTGCCAAAATGGAACTGTAGAGGAGAGTCTACTGAACAAGCCAGTACCTGCCGCAGACCAGTACTGCCATCTGTTCAGGAGTTACGAAGGTGGAGGCATTACTTTTCACTTTAACAGCACAACCATTCAATGTTAAGGCTTCCTGTCAAAATGGAACTGTAGAGGAGAGTCTACTGAACAAGCCAGTACCTGCCGCATAACAGTACTGCCATCTGTTCAGGAGTTACGAAAGCGGAGGCATTACTTTTCATTCAACCCTCATACCTTTTGCAAGCCCCTATCAGTCAGTGCTTTCAAACCAGTTTCCCCACCCATAAACTTGGGTGACGGCTTTAGGGAAATGTTTCCCCGCAGGTATTTCCTGGTGTCTGGCAGGAGAATAGAAAAAAGGATTGGCTCCAGAGACGAAGAAAGGATTGGTGGAGTGTTTGTTTGTTTTGCACTTTGAGAAGGAAGGAAGGAAGGAAGGAAGGAAGGAAGGAAGGAAGGAAGGAAGGAAGGAAGGAAGGAAGGAAGGAAGGAAGGAAGGAAGGAAGGGATAGGAAATAAATAAAGCATCTGGCTGGTATGTAATGGCTGCAAATCTAACGGGTGCATTTTTCGATTAGCATGGTATTAAAGACAGAAAGAGACCCATTTTGCAGGAAATGACAGTAAAGGAGGACAAAAAAATGTTGCAGCCTCCATTTTCCTCAATTCACTATTATTTGTACCTGGCACGGTTATGTTTCTGTGTACTTGAATAGATTTATTTTATGGTTTTCTTTATTTTAACTATGTGTTTTGAATATTTCTGGGTCTAATCCTATCTCAAAAGTTTGCATGCATTTGGATTTAATTCATATATTGTTATGGTTTTGAATGCTAGCTACTTTGGCAGAGGAAAAAGTCAGGTATAAATACAAACAACAATAACAACAGGCATCTTCCATTTGAATTAGTTCACTCTTTCCCCAATTCAGTATTATTTGTATCTGGCACAAATGAGGAATAAATAATTTGCAGCTTTCAATTGGTTAAGTTGCCCTGAAATCAAGCAATTTGGAATGGCCACGGATAGTGAGATCCATGCCACAGATAGTGAGACCTGTGCTGCGGATAGTGAGACCTGTGCTGTGGATAGTGAGACTTGTGCAGCGAATAGTGAGAGCATTGAGCCATGGATAGTGAGATCCGTGCCGTGGATAGTGAGACCCGTGCCGAGGATAGTGAGATCCGTGCCGTGGAGAGTGAGATCCGTGGCACAGATAGTGGGACCTGTGCCACGGATAGTGAGGTCCGTTCTGCGGATAGTAACACCTGTGCCACAGATAGTGAGACCCGTGCCATGGATAGTGAGATCTGTGCCGTGGAGAGTGAGATCCGTGCCACAGATAGTGAGACCTGTGCCACGGATAGTGAGGTCCGTTCCGCGGATAGTAACACCTGTGCCACGGATAGTGAGACCCATGCCGCGGATAGTGAGGTCCGTGCTGCTGATAGTGAGACCCTTGCTGCAGATAGTGAGACCCGTGCAGCGAATAGTGAGACGCGTGCCGCGGATAGTGAGACCTGTGCCGCGGATAGTGAGGTCCATGCTGCTGAGAGTGAGACCCGTGCCGCAGATAGTGAGACCTGTGCTGTGGATAGTGAGTGCCACATATAGTGAGGCCCGTGCAGTCGATAGTGAAGGCTGTGCCACGGATAGTGAGACCTGTGCCGCAGATAGTGAGACCCGTGCTGTGGAGAGTGAGACCCGTGCCGCGGATAGTGAGGCCCATGCCGAGGATAGTGAAACCCGTGCCGAGCATAGTGAGGTCCGTGCCATGGATAGTGAGACCCGTGCCGTGGATAGTGAGATGCTTGCTGAAGATAGTGATAGTGATAGTAAGGCCCATGACACACAGATAGTGAGGCCCATGCCGCGGATAGTGAGATGCTTGCTGAAGATAGTGAGATGTGTGCAGAGGATAGTGAGATGAGTGCTGAAGATAGTGAGATGCGTGCCGAGGATAGTGAGATGAGTGCCGCGGATAGTGAGACCCGTGGCATGCATAGTGAGATCCATGCTGCAGATAGTGAGGCCCATGCAGCGGATAGTGAAGTCTGTGCCATGGATAGTGAGACACATGCCGTGGATAGTGAGACCCGTGCCGCAGATAGTGAGGCCCATGCCGCGGAGAGTGAGACCCGTGCCGTGGAGAGTGAGACAGTGAGATCCGCGCTGCAGATAATGAGGCCTGAGCCACAGATAGTGAGGCCTGTGCCGCATATAGTGAGACCCGTGCCACAGATAGTGAGACCCGTGCCATGGATAGCCAGAATGCAGAACCAAGAGCCAAGTCCCTGGTGCCCAGGCAACTTTGGATCCAGATGCTTGGCGAGCATAGTAAGCCCAATCCAACAAAAGAACACTCACCAAGTTGGAGAGAAGATTTTATTTAGAGTCGGCTGAAGTGATGACACTCCTTTTCTCCATTCAATATTGTTTTTATATGACATGGATAAGGAATCAATAGTTGGCAGCTTCCACTTGTGCTCATTACCCACTTTTCCCTAATTCAATATTATTTTTAATGAATCAACAACGTGACGCTTCCAATTGGGTTTGTTCCCTCTTTTCCTCCAATTCAGGATTCTTTGTATCTGGCAATGGATACAGAATTAAATAACACTCTGTAACAAAACTTGAAAAATGTTTTTAATTTTATTTTTAAATCTTTAACTTAATCATAGAATCATAGAGTTGGAAGAGACCTCATGGGCCATCCAGTCCAACCCCCTGCCAAGAAGCAGGAATATTGCATTCAAATCACCCCTGACAGATGGTCATCCAGCCTCTGTTTAAAAGCTTCCAAAGAAGGAGCCTCCACCACACTCCGGGGCAGAGAGTTCCACTGCTGAACGGCTCTCACAGTCAGGAAGTTCTTCCTCATGTTCAGATGGAATCTCCTCTCTTGTAGTTTGAAGCCATTTCTCCATTGCGTCCTAGTCTCCAGGGAAGCAGAAAGGAAGCTTGCTCCCTCCTCCTCCCTGTGGCTTCCTCTCACATATTTATACATGGCTATCATGTCTCCTCTCAGCCTTCTCTTCTTCAGGCTAAACATGCCCAGCTCCTTAAGCCGCTCCTCATAGGGCTTGTTCTCCAGACCCTTTATCATTTTAGTCACTCTCCTCTGGACACATTCCAGCTTGTTATTATCTCTCTTGAATTGTGGTGCCTAGAATTGGACACAATATTCCAGGTGTGGTCTGACCAAAGCAGAATAGAGCATGGGGAGCATGACTTCCCTGGATCTAGGCACTAGACTAGGTGGTCCACAAGGTCTTTTCCAATGCTAGGATTCTATGATTTAAGTGTTGTTTCCTATTTAGTTGTGAGGTCCTTACTTTGAAAGGAGTTCTACTCCGGAAACTTTGTCTTTGTGGCACAAACTAGGTTGAATTGGTTGAGACTCAATGATGAGAAAGTCACATTGCAAAATGACTATGAACACATCCATTTGGCAAACAGAAACATGGCAAGGTGGCAAACGTCTAACAATGAGGACTAAGAACATGGCAAGGTGGGAAATATGGCACAATGAGGAGTAGGAACATGGCAAGGTGGCAAATGTCTCACTATGAGGACTAGGAATATGGCAAGCTGGTAAATATGGCACAATGAGGACTAGGAACATGGCAAGGTGGCAAATGTCTCACAATGAGGACTAGGAACATGGCAAGGTGGCAAATATGGCACAATGAGAACTAGGGATATGGCAAGATGGCAAACATCTCACAATGGGAACTAGGAACCTGGCAAGGTGGTAAATATGGCACAATTAGGGCTAGGAACATGGCAAGGCAGCAAACATCAAACAATGAGGAGTAGGAACATGGCAAGGTGGCAAATGTCACAATGATGACTAGGAATATGGCTAGGTGGTACATATGGCATAATGAGAGCTAGGAACATGGCAAGGTGGCAAATGTCTCACAATGAGGACTAGGAACATGGCAAGGTGGTAAATATGGCAAAATGAGGACTAGGAACCTGGCAAGCTGGCAAATGTCACAATGACGACTAGGAATACGGCAAGGTCGTAAATATGGCACAATGAGGACTAGGAACACAGCAAGGTGGCAAATGTCTTACAAGGAGGAGTAGGAACATGGCAAGGTGGCAAATGGGACACAGTAGGGACTAGAAATCCATAAAGGCAGCAAATAGTACACAATGATGACTAGGAACACGGCATGGTAGCAAATGGGACACAATGGGGACTAGAAACACAGAAAGGCAGCAAATAGTACACAAATGAGGACTAGGAACATATCAAGGCGGTAAATGGGACGCAATGAGGGCTAGCAATGGATATGCAATAAATCTGGCAATGGATATGGAATAAATAATTGGCAACTTCCCATTGAGTTACACTACATCTCCCAAATCACAAAATCAATCCCCTCCTCAACGCTGGATTGCAGGAAGGGGAACCCCTTGCACCTATGAGCCCAGGCAACACGCCTGCACGTGGACCCTGCCTTTCTTCACACTTGGTGCTGTTGATCCTTGCAAAAACTCTCCCTTAGTTTCCTGCATACCTTAACAAGGTTGGACTCGATGGCCCATGGCCAACTCCATGAGTCTATGATTCTCACCTGGCTGGTGAACCCTCCTTGAAGACGTCCTCCTTCTCCACCTTGAAGAGCCGGACCGTCTGCTTGACCTTTTCCTGCAGGTTGGCCAGGAAGACGGGGAAGCCTTGGCCTTGCTCCAGGAGCCGTGCCAAGCCTTCCTTGCCGTGCCGTTCCTGGATCAGCTGGAGGCTCTGGGAGGCTTGGAGCAGCAGGTGTGGGAAGTGTGGCGGGCTGTTCCGCAGGCCCAGGCGGGGCTGGCTCAGCAGCTGCTGGAGCTTGGCCAGTCCTTGGAGGGCTTTGTCCAGGGAGCGAGGGGCCGAGGCCCACCGGGGAGGGAAGTGGAGGGCACTGGCATGAGAGGCCATGGCCCCCAAGGCTGGAAGAGCCCAGGTGAGGCCGCTGCCAGGTTCACAGCCTGGCTTGGGAGGAGCACCTGGACGCTTGCCACCAAAGAAGAGGAGGAGGAAGGTGGAGGAAGGTGGAGGCAAGAGAGACGTCTCTCAGAGAAGAGGAAACGGCAAGCGGCTCGGAGAGGCTCACTGCAGTGGCTCCTGTGCGCCTGGCCACAAACAAGTCGGCTCGGCAAGGACAGGCCGCTACCTGCAAGAGATAGGCCTGCTTTTCGCCTACGGGCATCGCTCCTTGCCTCCTGCAAGGCCTCATTGATTCACAAGACAAGAGGCTCTGCACGGGGCATGCCGAGTTTTAAAAGTTGCACATTCCTGCTCTGCAACTGTAATTTATTTATTGTGTCAGGAGCGAACCAAACAGTTGTGTTGCTTGTGTATATGCATAGGG